TACCTGATAGAGACCACTGCTTGGAATTAAGTGATGAATTTCCGTTCATTCACTCTTGATTTTCTGCCAAAGGTATCTATAGGGAAAGATGAATGTTGCTGCTACTGACTGAAATCAAAACCATAATACACAACAATCCATCAGACAAATTAAGGGCTGTGTTTTGTTATCACCACAGGCCTGCCTCTGACAAGCAACATAAAGGAGAATTACAAGCTCTGAAACAAACTTATTAACCAGAATTATGTAAGCCTGAAGGATTTTATCAGATGTACTTCTATCAAAATAAAAGGGCAGGATTTGCTGACAGTAGCAAGGTGGGAAATACTAATTGCTAATACTAAAATACATCAATTAGAGGTATAACAACAGGTTTACTACACCTAAAAATAAAATAAATAATAAAAAATCCCTCACAGAACCCAGTAAAATGTAAGATAGTAAAAGTGTAAACAGACGGAAATTTCATTCTCCTTAGGGCTACCTCCCTTCTGAATGAAATTGCCTGCAATGCTCTCACTCAATTATTCCTAGTACCTGGCTCTTAATAGGGTGTGAAATGTAAATACATGTTTTGAGCATCTGCTTTGGAAATCATCCCCCTCCCTTTTCTACCTACAGTAAGAAAATCCTTGCAGTTGTGGCGTTCTGAGTTTTTTCTCACATCCCTATCTACAAGGTTCATAACAGAAGGAAGAAGAGAGGTCTTTAAAATACTTTGTTGCATTGAGGTACTACTGTCTTAAGCAGGACTATTTAATCAAAACATTTAGAGTAAATAAATTTTTAATTTTTTTTCTCTTCAGCCATGTTCAGCAATGCAATAAAGATCCTCCTTGCTGAACTCCAGAACAAGCTGTGCAGTTTCACAAGCACTATTGTTCTGCACACCACTATTTGCCACACCCACTTATTGTTACTGGATATTAAAAAAACCCCACCAAACTACTGGAAAATAGACAAATGGCAAGCAGTCAATAGAACAGATGTGGGTCATATGACTTTGGGGCAGAAGGAAAACACCCAAGTTCTGCCCTCAGTCACCTGCACAAGGCACCACTCATTACCACCACTGGGATTCTTGAGAAGATGGCAGGTATTCACTGCAGGAAGTCCATTCTCAATTTTGAAGCCAAATCACTGCTTTTTAGTGACAAGCAATATATATAAAAGTAAAAGAATTTTACATTATAGACAAGAAAGATAATGGGGCAAATCTGTGTTTTATATTTGTCACGCACGTTTTGAAATTGTCATCTCTCTGATGTAAATTTTCAGCAATGAGAAATGAGGTGAAGTGCACCCCAGCTGTTCCATGGTTTTATTTTTAGGGCTTATTTCATCAGCTAAAGGTTGTCTTTTAACATCATTAAGGAAGGCAGGGGCCAAGAGTAAACACAGTTCTCACTGTGTTTATACTTACCAGTCTACCCAGAAGATGCCATCTTACCTAAGTAAGAGGGTTTTTCTACTCTAAGCAACAAATATCTTTGTAATTGCTTGCTCCCTTTCACTTCTTCAAGGCAAAGAAACCTTCAACCATCTCAGAGAAACAGAAAACTAAGGGATGAAATACCTGGAGACTTAGCCCAACTCTCCTCACCCACCTTCTGTGCTGCAATTACTGTCCACAGTAATTGTTGTCTAGAGACTTTGCCAGATTTATCATGGTTTTGTCTTTTGTGCTTCTCCTTTACCACTTGCCACTGTTGGGATTAAAGGAGCAAAAACCTTTGAGGTACAAATTACCACTGAGCCATCCAGCCAGGGTGATGGAGGAATAAATAATGTGACCTACACATTTTGTCCCTCAAAAACACGTACTCCACAGACTGAGCTCATGAATTCCACTTTCCCTGGCCCAAGGCCTGGAAACTCAAGTCTTCACCAAGTGCCAGACCTCCCACTGAGGGCAAAATTAACCTCAGTTAACAGGTCAGAGCACTCTGATATCCTTGTATTTCACCAAATATTGCTTTAAGGATATGAGGAGAATGAGGTTGTCTGAGTAGAGGCATCTGAGACCATCTGGTAGGTTTTTGAAATCTGAAAGGTTGTTTGGTTTAGGCTTTCTTTTTTTATACAACTCTAATGGGGATTATGCAATCTAACAACCATCCCTCTTCCACTTACCATTGCAACCTCCTCACTAACCACAGACAGTCCCTAACACAGTATTTCACCGCAGTTTAGAATTAACAAATTCATTTACATCTTCCTCATGACAAAGGAAACTGCTGTAAGATTAATAATGCAGTGGTCACAAGGATTTGTAAAGCTCTCTGCTACATCCTGTCTCTATAGAAAATGCTGAAATTGCAGTTTAATGCAACTATCAATGGAACCAATACCTTTGGCTTTAAATGGCTCACTAGCACATCTCACATGACTTTTAGGACTCAATCACTCTTAGGTTCACATCATCTTTGCTCTTCATGGTTTCCACACCTTCCTGATGCTTTGTGTTAAGTCTTTACCCCTTCTCCCCATCATTCCTCATGTGCTTGTAGCACCCACTCCCAAGACCACTCTTCAGCCAAATGGCAGCAATCAAGAGCATTTTTTACAGTTTAGCCATGCTAATTGAATACCAGCTAGTTAATATTTGGTAAAAAAAAAAATCTAGTACTGGAAAGAATAAACTACTCTACATCCTTTAAACTTTTATAAACTGAAAGAGAATAAATCCAGCACAACCACTTCCATAAAAGAAAAAAAAAGTTATCCTTAATAAAAAGCAGTTATTCAAACTTTTTGGAAAGGTAAACAATGCAAGCCTCTGCTTCCCTGCAGTCATTCCAATTTTTCTTTATTAATTGCTTCAGAAGAGCAGTTCACATCGTGTGGTCAGGCAGAGAAAAACATAATTAAAGTTACACAGAGATTGTCTAACTTGTTAGTATCCCAAGCCAAAAAGGGCAGAATGTACACTTTGCTTTTGAGAATGAGCTTAAAAGGACATAGATTGGTTTAATGTCTCACCTAATTTACAACAGCTACAATGAAAAAAAAAAAATTACAACTTTTCTTCCATTTAAAAAAGTCATTTTCCACAAAAAAAGCTTCATTCTGTATATAGGCCAATCCTCCCTTACCTCCAAACTAGCAACACACATTCTTTCATGCTTGCCTAGCCATGAGACACGTGAACTATACTGAAAAAGATCTACACTGGTTTGCAAAGATTACCTAATAATACAGGACAACATCAAAAGATGGTCAATTGAAAATTCCAACTGTAACTCTGACTTCAGGAAAACAAATATAATGCAAAAATTTCTGCACAGAGAAAAGAGGTCACTTCAGTGAGTTAACACCTGCACCTTCCAAATTCTGCAGACTTTGACAAATGCCTTATTAATCTACATTTTTATGAAGAATTCACAAGAAGAAAAAGGGGAATGAGATCTATCTTACGCTGTAAATTGTGCATAGACAGTGAAGGACATACTACAGAAACAGCAAATATCAGCAAGAGATTGATGCAGCAACTCAGCCTGTCCAACAGGTTTTGGGGAATACAGTTTGCTCAGGAACCAGACCAAATAACACCACACTCCTGGCTCTCCTGGGAACAACTGAGGGGAGGAGAACTTTTCTCCTGCATTGATCAAAGCAGAGGTGCTGCTGAGCTGCAGTTTGGAAAAAGCACAGTCAGATGGGTGATACCATGATAAGAGTCTGGGATGAAAACCAGTTGACCATGTCACAGACCAAACCAGAGTGCTCACAAGAACACAACCAGTATTACTGTTAATTACTGTATTTTGAAGGTGGAAATACAGTTTTAACTTCACTTAAATAGGTATCATATCACCTATTCATATCCTGATTAGCTACTGCATTTATAACAGAAAGCTTCAAATAATTATTCTGCCAAATAATAGGTAGGGGCAGAGTCCTGGACACATCCCCACTAAGGAAATGGAATTCAACAAGCAGCTATTTTGGCTGTCTCCTATTTGGAGATGAAACATTTCACATGCCACCAATAAACAGACTGAGCACAACTCAAATTAATTAAAAAAATATAAAAGAAAAAAAGGTGCTTCTTCTGGGCCCATTCTCCCATTCTGCAATGCAAGCAGGAGCACTGTGATAGATTTATTGGTTACTCCCAATCACTACTTTCTGCTTAAATTTAAAATAAATATTCTGGGCCTTTCTGAAAGCCTGAGTCATCATCACTTGCAGATCCACTGCCCACAAAGAAGTCCATGTTCTACACACCCATCAAAAACTGGACAGGTACCATGGGCATACATTCACACCTAACTCCAAATCCATGCTGTGCTGACCCACATGCAGCCAAATTTTCAATGTAACAGCTACAAATTATTTTGGAAAATATGTTTGAGAGCCATAAAAGATTTTGTAATAGACAGTGTTGACCACAATCAGCATTTTAACTGTTCTACTCTTGAACACAGAATGGTGCCCTTGCCACAACTTTTTTTGTTTTTTTTAAATCATCTTTTAAAAATACTACAGTACTATAAAGAATGCTCTGTGCTTTGGCTAATTGAAATAAACCTTCTTTACATCACAGGAAAACCCCAAAGAACTAATGGAAAAAATCACATAAGCAAAAAAATCACCCACTCAAATTAGGAAAGATAATTTAAGTGAGAAAACCTTACTTGCAGAAGTAAAATTACTGAACTGCTGAGATATAAAAAGGACAAACATTCAAACTTTTATATAGGCCATAATATGGATGGAAATAAGCTCCTTACACTTAACATATTTGTAAATGCCACATCTAGTCAGGAGACTTCTAAACAACTTCTTTAAACTTATATTGTTGCAGTTGACTTCTCCCCTGCTCATTTATTTAGGGCAGCTGCTACTGGGGTTTTGCACAAAGACAACTCAGGGACACTCCAACCACCCTTAGAAATGACAGACACTTCTCATACAGTCAGCTGAACTTGGTCAGCACAGTTCTGCACATACACACACAAACATCAACATATTTAATAATAAATTCTAAAACTTACTTTTCTGTATCTGAGGATTGTTTCCAGCCTCCTTGAAGATCCCGTGTGATATCTTTCCCAATATTATTTAAGATGGCACCATCTTTATGTACAGAATCCTCTTTTTTTCTAGCTGTAGGCTCTTCAATTTTTGGCTTTGGCTGCATGTCCTTTTTCGGAAAGGTATTCGTGCTCTGTAAATCCTTTTCACATCTGTTGGGCTCATCTTGGAAGGTAGAGGGTTTAGATTCTACCAAAGAAGATCTTGTTGCAATATTAAATAAGCTTCCAAGGAAATGAAAAAAGCCTTCTCGGGGTTGCTTGTCTTTGTCTGATGTTTTACTTCCAGGAGTCAAGCTAGGAAGGCTATTAGCCTTTTTCAGCTCCTCCTGGATTTCAGATTTGCTAAGCTCTTCTGTGGAATGGTTCTTCTCTTCATTTTGACATGCCTGAGAAAATACAAAAAGCACATAAAGGTGATGGTCCCTGTCATTTTCACACATTCCCAAATTCCTTGATTTTAATTTGCACCTATGCATTGTATTCCTTTCAGGAGCTCTGTCATTTGAAAGGGTTAAAGCCCACTGTCTTCTCTTTTTGCACCAAAGAGGTCCCTATTCCACAAAAAGTAAAAAGTACTAACACAGAATATTCCCAAAGCAGCTGCAGTGGAAAAAAAATACAGGACAGATGGCAACAATTGCTTCAACTGGCACCAAAAACATGGGGAAGAAGCAAGGAACATTTATTTCACACTTCAGACTAATCCCCTCAGAAAGCACAGCTTCACAAACATGTGCTTGTGAGAACAATTTTCAGCTTGCAAATCTAGGCAAGAACACCAAAGGCAAACAGAAACACCCCACAGCCTTCTGCACGTCTGAAAAACCGAGGAGAATCAAGGGATAAAACAGACTCAACTCACATCCCAGAGGTGAATCCCACCTATTATCCTTAGCAACTTGATGTTGAACCCTCTGGTCAGCTCTCCTTCAAGTGCACAGCCGTTTCCAAATGGATTTGCTGTCTCCCACAGTCTCCAGCACTCCTTCCCTGGTTTTCACAGAGCCAAAGTCCCACAGAGCACCAGCCCTGCACCTCTGACCTTCTGAACTGCCTGTCGGCCCTATCAGTGAACTGAAATGAATGAGCACCAAGCAGGGCTTCACCTCATTCAAACCACATGCTCATTTCTTCCCTCAACTCAGCTGAGCATCTACACCCAGAGGCAAGGCAAGCTCTATTCCTCACCAATTTATGCCCTTGAATTTCCTGTGTCAGCTCCTCTCAGAGATCCAAGGACTGCTGTCCAAGCTCATGTTACTTCTGTCAAGACCATCTGCTCAAAAGGGTGATGCAACTTCACTGGAAAGCTTCACAAACACCAGACACAGCCACATTTTCAGCTTCACAATCTGCAAATGTGTTTTTTTCCCCTGGACTAAAGCTTTCTGGGAAGCACCTCCCTCCCCCAACCCCACCCTTTTTGTAGTGGGTGCCATAGGCTACTGCTGCCTATTTTATCTTTACAGTACAACCCTGTAATTTCAATTCCTGATTCAACTCAGTTTATTAACACAGATTAAAGTTACCCCAAGCTTTTCTCAGATGAGATCTAGCCTGCTCAACAGGAGTGGGAAAGAACATGAACAAAAAGTCCTATGCAAATTTTAGTTGTGTCAACAATACATTTGGATAAGAGTAATTGTTTCAAATTGGGCAACACCTACATAGAAAGCTACTATTTCCACTAGGTGACCAATCCTATTTCTACTTGAAGTAATCTTAAATAAACCAGCAGGCTTATTTGTTAATAGGCCACCTAGGATCATGTCAATGATGAAAAAAAGTGTTTTAATGAACCCAGCTTCCCATCCTTGGGGAACAGCCATTTCTTAAGAACTTTCAAGAAATCTTTAGTGATACTGAAGCAATGGTCTTTAAACTTCAAGCAATGCTTTTTTACCCTTGAAATACAGAGCAGATGCAATTGCTTAATATTAAAATACACACATGTTGAAAATGGAATTACTGAAATTGTGAGGACAGAAATTGAACAGCACTAATTTTTCCTTGAGAAATCCACACAATGTCCATTCTCTTTGTATAGGCAAGACACTTGTACAATCACACTCAACTTCTAAGTAAACTTTTAAAAGTGGGCTAAGTCAAACTCTGGCCTTTTTTCATCCCACCTGTGACAAACCTCACCACTCCCCCCACACTGCTCTGATCAACAGCTGATGCATCACAAAGAGGTGCAGTCACCCCTGTGGGATCAGAGATTTACCATTTACACGTCAACTCTACCCAAACCCAGCCCTGGAAATGAAGATGCCAACAGTGCAGCTTGGAGATGTGACACAGCTCTGGCTGCTGTATTCAGTATCAGACAAGTAACACACAAGCCTGGAATGAACCTCTTGAATAACTGACTTTATCTCAGAGGAACTGAGTACTTTGCATAAGGAAATACGAAACAGAAACAAGAAAACAAAATTATTTCCAAAATTTGATGAGTGAGTGATTCACCATGTCAGCTTCAAAGTTCTACTGTCATATTTTCTTCCTTCACTTTGACTAACACCTCAGCATTCTTCAATGCCAGATTTTAATCCAACTTTAAGTGAAGGAGGGCATTTCTCCGTAGTTTTGAGATTCGTACTGTTCACACAGATTTGTCTAATCTAAAAGAGTACCCCAGTGCAGGAAATGTACACAAATCTTATTCTTTTCTCTGCACAAAACCCTTTTAAGCCATAAACATTTATATTAACTATTAAAATATCTATGAAGTTAACAACTAGATGCATTAACTATAAAAGAAATTGTTACATTAAAAACTTGACAACAGTTTAGTCTTATAAGTGTTTTTGTTTGTTGTTGTTTTGCTTGGTGTGGTTTTGCCCATTTTTTAAAACCATTTGTATTCAGAAACTAGTGGAGGGTTTGGGGTTTTTTTCCTATTATGAATTGAGACATCAAATATAGTTAAATCTCTACATGTGAAAGTCTCCTCCGAGCAGCTCTGAGACATAACACTTGTAAAGACTGCGCTGCTTATTTGTGAGCATAATTTATGCCCTGCTTGAAAAGCTGTTTTGTAGTCTCTGCTTCCAGAAACAGAAATCTATTTAGACTTTCCTTCCTCTTTAATCTTCCTTTCTTTACTTAACTTTTGGTAAATCAAAAGAACAGGAAGCTTTAATATGAAAGGGTCCTTCCATACATTTAACCATAAATAGCGTCTTGCATGAAAAAAAGCGACAGAGAACATTTACACTGTATTTGAAGATATATGTGGATATTAAGTCCTAACACAGAAGCTATGCAAATCCTTCTTTCTTCCCTTCAATATAATCAATCCTACTCTCCATATATTCTCCCTCCTGCTCCACTTTGCCATAACAGACAGCTTGAGCTATTGGTATTTCATCATTTGCACACAAAACCTCAATTCAAAGTCTGAAGCATTATACAAACAGCACTGTTCCTGCTGCAGATTTTGAAGTTTGTATTTTAAGATGGTGCCATATTCAAATTACTGAGACGAAAGCACATGATTTTACTTTACAAAAGCCAGTAAGCCTCTGGCACAGCAGGAGCCTTCAGGCACGAGTGCCTGATGAACACGCAGCACGATGGTAATTCCACGAGCCAGTATAACAAAACTTTCACTTATCATTCCCCCTGCCTCTCTCCCAGTCTGTCTCTGACAGAAGCCCCTAGTGAGCACTCAGGGGAAAAAAAAAAGTAAGGGCATAGGGTTTATATAAAGTAATCCTTTCTATGGTATATCATACCAGTTTTCAACAGCCAGGGCCTCTAGCCACCTTGACAGAGCATTTGATTTTGTGTCATAATTAAGCTTGAGCAGTTTGATATTCACAACACTGCAGGAATATCAGTGACTCGTTTTACCTATACTTCATGTGATCAGTCAAAGAAAAACAAATTTAAAAAGTCCTCTAACAGTGTCACAGCAGCCTGAATAGTTTCTCAGGATCACCAAGAAAACAGGAGTTTCTGGATGGAAACCTACCTGCCAGATCCCCTTTGAGATTCTTGCTGATGCATAAAGGAATTTTCCTGCTATAGTGCTGTCTTTCTGCTCCTCTTGTAACGAACTGTCATCAGTCTCCCCCTGCCTCCCCTTTCCCACTCTCTGTGAGCTTTCCTGCTTGTGACATGCTTCATGAAGCTTTAATTAGCTTTTAGTCCTTTGGCAACTCGCTCCTCTGAGTTTCACTGAGCAAGCCCTGGGTGACCTGGCCCGACCTTGTAGCTGAACTGAGGCTGGACTGGATGACACTCTGGGGTCCCTTCAACCTGAATTATCCTACGGGCCTGTGCCCTCACATGCAACCAGGCTGGTGTGGCAGAGTGTGAAACGAGATTAGGACTTCAATCAGGTGATCGAGGGACTGCAGTGATCAGTGACGCTGTGTCTGGCCACTGTGCTCCCACTTTGCTGCTCTGAAGCCTGCCAGCTGGGGCTTGGGGGACAAACCCCGATGCCACGTCTCACGCAGGATTGTTATCCCAGCTGATTTATCCAGGGGCAGCCAAGTGTGCTCTCCAGGCTGTAATCCACCCCAGGCCGCAGCATGGACACCCGCCCTAAGCCAGCTGCATCTTGGCAGCCAGGCCAGGTGAACAATCCCCGAGGTGCACAGCAGCACCCTGGGGAGGCTAACCTGCCAGGTTACCTCAGTTTTCCTCACCTCCTGCCCAGCAGGGAACCTTTGTGACCACCCTTGTAAAGCATCTTTTCTCAGCAGCCGGGTGGCTGAAGTTTGAATTGCCCGAGGTTCTCAGTTAGCAAGGGCTACGTCTGTCTGCCAAAAATACAACCTCTTTTATTGCCCTAATGAGGGAAATGAAAACATTACCAGCATTAAAACACAGATATCCGTGAACAAAGCGTTAGCTTCCAGTCACAACTGCCAGACATTTGGGATTTCCCTCCCCATGAATGAATGCTCATTACGAAGCAGAGACTCCAGACAGCCACACAGGGACCTGCCACATTCATATTTTCTGAAAAATCCCTTCGCCCAGGATCTTTCTCCTGGGAAGCTGACAAGCCTCAGAGAAAAAGGAGAACACTTCTCATCTAATTTGCTTCTCCTGTGTTGTGTTCACATGTGGAATGTGTTTGGAGATTGTTTACCCACAGGTGATTGTTTCATTGGATTCTGGTGTGACTTGTTTTGTCTCATTGGCCAATCAGTGCCAAGCTGTGCTGGGACTCTGGGAAGAGTCACAAGTTTTCATTATTATCTTTTTAGCATTCTGGAAGTATCCTTTCTGTCTTCTTTAGTATAGTATAATGTAGTATTCTTTAATATAATATAGTATCATGAAATAATAAATTAGCCTTCTCAGAACATGAAGTCAGATTCATCATTCCTCCCTGCCAGGAGGGTCCCTGCAAATACCATAGGGA